AACCGATAGCATCAGATTGTAGCCATGGCAACACAACAATCAATCTATTAGGATTATTTTTACACTATTACAAAGTAAACAACTGTGGCCGAGTGGTTAGGGGAGTTGTCCTGGAACTGGAAAGTCACTGGTTCTATCTCCCATTCCAGGTGTCTCAGTTGTTGTGTCCTCGGGCAAGACACTTCACCCCTAATGCCTCTGATGTGTGTCCCATCAGTGTATGAATGTGATTGGCACTGATTAGTCTCCATAGATGATTGTACATGTTAGCTTTGTAGAGACCTAATAGAGTGCTGTGTGAATGGGTAAATGAGGACACAGATTTTAGTGTGAAGAACTTTGAGTGTCCTGGATGGATAGAAAAGCGCTATAAGTACAGTCCATTTACCATTACCATTTACTGAATGCTAAGAGATAAACCATTCYAAAGGTTTGGGGTTGAATCTGTAAAGGCCCGATCACCTCTAAACTTTAGCCTGGATCTAGGAACGTCTAAGAGAAACTGGTTGGATTGAAGTGCTCTAACTGAAGTATGGATGTTAATGAGATCACACATATCTGCCCCTTTTTAAAGAATAAATTCAAACAATAGTAATTTATAAAAAACAAAATTAAACTAGAAGCACTCGGAGGGTGCAGACCTCCGCCAAGGCCAATTTCCCCCATCCTGTAAGAGTAAATGCACAAAAGCAGAGGAGGAAACACATTTGCTGAATAAGTTCTGATGTAGCGAACATTTAAGCAGGCAGTATGCACGGGATTTCTTCTTGGTGGAGTCCAATGTGAAAAAAAAAAGTCAGAATCATCACCTGAYGTTAWTCATCGTCAAACTGGTCCTGGATTCAGCTCCAAAGTTTTCATCAGTCACATTTCACCATGTAAAATATCTGTTTTATCCCCTTGTATAAGTTTGTAATGGTTTGACTCTCTTTATAAACTGCTTCCTGGTACAGTTGGCTCATGAAGCGAGTGGGTTTTGCTTGTTTTTTTGTTTTGTTTTGTTTTGGGGKTTTTTTTAAGCGAGTGATTGAAGCAAAATACAATGTGTGAGCGCTTTCAGCACAAACACTCCCACGAACTTCAAAGCAATCACACAATAAAGTTCTTATGTGGAGGGGGACAAGGTTGATCAGATGTTCCTGACGGTCCAGAGCTTCAGCTGAGCTGCAGCAGGACCCCCCTCCTGCTGTCGGTGTCTTCTGTTATTCCCGTAACGTGAACAGAATCTCATTTCTTTTTGTTCATCTCCAGACAGCAGTAACTTCACCAGAAGTAGTTGATAACAGAATAATCACAACTTTCCTGATAGACGTATTGGGACGTGTAGTCCCAGCGAGTTTGTGACTTGTACTTCCTGTTTCCTACAGGCATGCCTCTGACGTAATGACACTGTGTAGCCTGGCTGATTCGCTCGATTTAATCCTCTGAGGTCTGGGGAGTAAATGGCCGTTTTTGACTAACTTTGAATGGACCTCTATATTTTTACTTTAAAAACTATTTACCTTGCCATGTTTGGTATCATTATTTTCAGCACAACCTCAGCTTTATGATTTAAGAGTCTTTGTTTCATTAAAACAAACTGCATTATCACAGTAAACCAAAAAACACAAAAAATCAAAATCCGGGTAGGAAAATTTTGGCTATTTTTATTAGAAAATTCACAAAAATGTGTAACTGTAATGGAAACACTTCCATCAGGGCAGAAATACGTGGAAATAAACAAAGTGAAACTGCATGGTCTGGTCTCAGATTATTTAATAGAAGTGCATATATGCAAAAGAGATCGAGTGGAACCGGGCAGACGTGATCAGAGCATCTGTCAAGTTCACACTGGTGCAGAAACAGGAAACAGACAATTATATACAGCATGCCAAATAGAAGGAAGATATATGAATGACCAATGAAGTAATTACAAGTTATATAGGCCATATGAAATGAGAACAAGATTGCAGAGTACATTCAGCATCGTTATGAGGACAGATTGTACAGTGACAGTTATCAAAGACACAGAACAGAAACATGTCAATGTGATATGCAGTTATTCAGAGACTCTTCCACTGCAGTAACGAACCATTTTTCTAACCCATAATGAAAATCTGTAGTGTAAATTGCATAAACATGTACAAACGTAGCAAAAAAACAAAATTATATCCATGTTTTTACGTGAAATTGTGTGCAAATTCCCAGGCGTTTTTACAACAATTTACAAAATGTGTCACAATGACTCCACCACAAATTCTCCCGAAACTTACAATGTCTCGTGGTTTTTTTAAAATTTTACAACCATTTCAAAAATGTGTGACAATGACTCAATCATAAATTCTCTCCAACCTTATGTCTCGTGTTTTTGTTTTTACAACCATAAGTCCTGAA